ATCTACAGCAGTTCTGGCTTAGTTGTTTCTTCTCCAAATGCCACATCATCTATTTTCCGCAACACAAAAGCAATGCGTATCGAATGGGCTCCATTCCATATAGATAGCGAATTTGTTGAGATCACTTTGGTCAATAGTAATACAGATGACAAGGTTTTGATAGCCTTTTACAACACTGGATCTTGCGATATTGACATTTCCGACTWGAATCTTCCAGTCGGAACTTACTATGTTATTGTAAATTCGGAGTTTGGTGCTGGCGCATCATCTCCATTCATCATTCGCGATGCTTAGCACATCCAAATTTAGGTTTTACTATGCTTTATGTTGTAATAAACGCAATTATCAAGATCGAAACTTGGCTTTAACGCAGCATAGGGTTCAAACTGCAAATCGGGCATATAGACGAATCAAAGTCCATGCGGAATTAAATTAGATTGAATTTGGAGGTCAGAGACAAATCCGTATTTGGAAGCAAAGAGGGAAGAAGGCTTTCAAAAACGGAATGTTGGCACAAGTTCAGAAGATGATCCAAAGGCTTATATTCCATAGCTCAAGATTTTAATTCACTCATGTTTTTGCTTGAAAAGCTAGCATAAAATAGCAATATTTTTGTTGCTTTTATTCTGTTTATGCCCAATAACATAATCCTAATGGAAGGCGCAGGCCTTTTCGGCCCTCATTTGATGGATCGGCTAATAAAAATAACCCAAAATGCTTGATTATTGATAATGTCTTTGCTGGAGCCCTAGAAAAGCTAGATCAATCGAATAACCATCGACGGCTTTTGGTTTATGAGCTTGATATTTCCAGCCCAGGCCACCAAATGACATATACATGACATATACATCTTGTTTGCCTTTAAGATCAATACTGGAAACGTCAGGTCCACACCATAAAGAAGGGTTTTATGGGCACACTATTAATGTTGGAATTTGGGAACAAAAGAAAAGTAAAAATTTCAAGGCTAGAATAAGATGGTCGCTTTAAGCCCTGAATTAATCCGGGTGGTCTAAGGCACCTTGTCTTTTTGCAAGCAACCCGAATTTCAAAAAAACTTTTAAATCATCAAAACTGGAAACGCCACAATTTTCAACACAAAAATGAAGGGAAAATCACGGAAAAG